GGTCAAGCAAAGCTTTATTTTGCGCCAAGCATCGAGAATCAAACCGACCATTCGGGACTGCGCCTCTTACAGAGAGGGCGACCTCTCTCTGCCTTACAGACTAGCTTTTAAGGGCAAAGGCCATGTGGTTGGGCCTGGCCACGCACAGGTGGCCAATGAGATTGTAACACACAGAGAAAGCTGCGCAGTCATGCTAGGTCACACACGCGTGGCCAATTGAATTACAATTTACCCTAGTAGATATTTGAACTAGCCTATCACCTTGGTCCGAATTGGTGCCCAAAGGACACCCAAAGGGCGGGGCCCATACTCCTTGGTAGCTAGGGAGACAGTATGCGCCCCTGCCGATTGGATACCTCCACCTGGCCTGACCCACCCTTGTATTTGGGCTTTGTTACCTGGGACTGGTTTCCTGGGCTTGCTTTTAAGTAAGTCCCTGAAGGGGGGCAGGGTCAGTTTAAGTTTTACTGCATAAACAACAAAATCACTGTTTAACCCAAGATGGAATCCCTCTGGCTAAATAGGCCCTTACATATATATCAATATGTCACATGTTAATGATAATTTATTTAATCAAATCCCAATTACTGGACATCTGGATTGTTTCTGACTTTTTGATATTGTCATCATCCTTGTACATATATCTCTTTCTAAATTGATGGGACTCTTTCTATAAATTAAGATACTAGGCAAAAGGATTCCTCAATATTTATACTTTTGGTAATGGCTAAATTAGCCTTCTGAAAGCTTCATGTCAGGTTGCATTAATAGTATAAGGCTATTTCATTATACTGTAGCCAGGACCGGAGTTTTAATTAAGTTTTAAATATAAATGTGAAGAAGATGGACATTTTATATGTGAATGCTTTTTTTTTCATTTCACAGCCATTTCTTCTTCTTCTTCTTCTTCTTCTTCTTCTTCTTCTTCTTCTACTTCTACTTCTTCTTCTTCTTCTTCTTCTTCTTCTTCTTCTTCTTCTTCTTCTTCTTCTTCTTCTTCTACTTCTTCTTCTTCT